GAAAAGAAGGCAAAGAAGAATGTTTGATTTGAAGCTCAAGGAAGTGATGAAGATGAACAGTAGGAAGTAGGAAATAGGGAGACAGATAAATTAGGTTAAAAATGAAGATGAACATAGGTGGGTTGTATCATTTGATGGGTCGAGTCGGGTTAAAATTGGTTAATTTAAGTAAATCGGGTTATTTTTGTTGATTTGGGGGTTTCCATCCAATTGAGGGGTAAATGTGATGAGTTTGTAGACGGCAGGGGCAAAAATAACTTCGTTTTAACGGTAAGGGTATAGTCAAACAATAAAACAAAGTTGAGGGGTATTTTTAACCCTTTTCCCTTTGATATATATAAGAACAATTTGTTTCATGTCCTAAGTATTGTTAAGAGACCGCGAATTACAACATTATCGAATTCAGCTTAAGTAGACACTCTAACCTACATATATTAAACAAATAATCTGAACGATTGTAATCTGTCTTTTCCACAAATAGTGTTGCAATGTGAATTGATGCTTGAATTTCTTTTACAATGTTTGTCAATTAGCTTATTTAAGGTTTCATTAATTTGGTCAATTACCACAAAAGGGAATACCTAACTTTTGCCATATACGACATTGAAGGCAAGAATTGACTTCAACTTTTGCTTTTATTAATTTGGTCGTTTATCTTTCAGAGAGCAGGGCATACTGCTCCAAATTTGGGCACCAGAAGAATGTCTTGCTATCAAGGGCGGATCCAGGGTATCAGGTGGGGGTTCCCGAGAACCTGGTAACTTCCTATAAAGTCATTTTTTAAGATTTTATTAATCGGGGATGAAAATTCTAAGACTTGATACTTTTCGAGACATCACGCATCATTCCCTTAACAAGTATCCCAAATTTTCATATAGAAATTTCTCACAATTAATATGCAGAATGAGAACATTGTAGTGTTTAAAGGCACCAAAGTTTGTTCCTTAGAAAGAACAATGATACCCTTACCAAACATCATCAACAACAACAAATGCAGTGTAATCTCACAAGTGAGGTCTAAGAAAGGTAGTGTGTACGCCAATCTTACCCCTACCTTGGGGGAGGTAGAGAGGCTCAACAACTAGAAGATAGAAACAGATAAACTAAGAACTTTTTCTTCAACAAAACAAAACAAACTGACAGACTAATAATATTTGTCTAATATCAAATGACTGGATATCAGTTTCAGGAACATGTAGGAATTTATTAATAAGGGACAAACTACAATAAAACTAAGCCAGCATTAACAAGTTCGAAATCGATCCACATTGTTGAAGGCTCAACCTTGGCAACTACTCGATTCCCAACAGCACTTTTATGTCCCTCTGCAACAAGAGCATGAACTCATAAGGCAAATCATCTTATATAGAAAAGTTGCATCGAGTATTAACACAAAAACGTTACCTCCATTGAGAGAGGGGATGTGGTAGGATAATAGCGATCAGAAACTTGGCCATTCTTATCAACGAGGAACTTAGCAAAATTCCACTGAATATTATCCCCAAGTAATCCCCACTTTGCTGATTTCAAGAACTTATAAAAGGGAGATGTGTTTTCGCCATTCACTTCAATCTAGTTTAAGAAAGATACACACTTGTGAATACAAGGATACCATGAGCTCTAAGGGAAGAAGTAATCCAGACGCAATAGTATCCCTTAAGAATGCAACTTTGATGTTCGTAGTTAACAGAAGATGCCAACAAATTTATTGAGAACAATCTAATTGATGGAAAAATCGCAACTTCCAAAATATTCTACCAAAATATTAAACATTTGACTCACGTGTATATGCAGGGAGAGAAGATGTATATTTAAAAGAAGGAACACAATACCAAGTAAATCACCATTTTTTTTTATAATGCAAGAAAATAAAAAATTAGTAGTTGAAACTATAGTAACATCTATGAGGATTCTTGTTGTTTCATTACCTTGTCAAAGATGGGGAACTCTGACTTGAAACGCGTACAAGCAAATTCTACAATCTCATCGTTGCTCCCTGGTTCTTGCGCACCAAATTGATTGCAAGGAAATGCCAATATTTCCAGACCTACATTTAAATACCCAAACGAAAGAGAGATGTGAATTGTGAAGGCAGTTTTAGTGATACTCAAACCATAATAATGTGATGATTTTGAAACTTTGGTTCAAACACTAGCCTTTTTCTTCTTCTTTATTGATAGAGGAATTTAATTTGTTATGAGACAATCATTAATGACAGCAATAATAATGAAAAGAAAGACCATACAATTTAATGTGGGGAACTCTCAAGGGGAAGGAAACTCACGGCCAGTCACCAACTTTTGTTATTTCTCAGTGAAAGATGATACAAATACACCGAGTAACCAATGTTTATATAGGCAGCGAAAAATCTCAATACTAGACTATTTAGGATGTGCTCCAAACAATTTTTATAAGAAACCTACAGACTATTTAAAAAATAGACTGCGAAAAAACCGCTGCAAGAGCAAAATGATTACTTGACACATACCTTGATCTTTGTACTTCTCATGTAAATGGTTGAGATCTTTGTAGTTTGAATCAGTCAAACCGCTGTGGACAGCAAAACAGATAGCACTTGAATTTCTTTTTTTTCCATAATAAGTCAGATAACAGTTGAAGAATTCAATGAAGTGAAATATTATATGAATCACAGAACGTGTAAAAGAAAAAACAATTTCTTAGAGTTAAGATTTTCATCTGGGACAAAGGTTGTTTCTTTCCCTGGAAATCATACAACTAATAAATATGATGTGTTGAAATAGATGATTTTACCATTTGGACGCAACATTCACGATAAGTAGGACCTTTCCTTTGTAGATACTAAGATCAACATCATTTCCCTTTGCATCCTGAGAGCAAAGGAGACAGTATGCTCAGAAAAGGAACAAGATACAAGTAAATGAAGCATTTCATTGTGGTCACTTGTATCAAAAATGTCTGACCCTCCAAAAATAGTGCCTTTTTGGAGTACCTGACACGGATGCAACATCATTTTTGGAGAGTCCAAGCAACATAACTTGTACATTTTTATGATATATTATCGTTAGCAGACTCAACCAAGTCATTTCATCAATTTATTATGGATTTCCCCCGTGTTTATAGGGTGAAGGCACAGAAAGGGGCTATTTA